TACTATGTCTTTCAGAGGAACCGAACATCACTATGGCTTCTAGAGGAACCGAACATCACTATGGCTTCTAGAGGAACCGAACATCACTATGGCTTCTAGAGGAACCACACATCACTATGGCTTCTAGAGGAACCGAACATCACTATGGCTTCTAGAGGAACCACACATCACTATGGCTTCTAGAGGAACCACACATCACTATGGCTTCTAGAGGAACCACACATCACTATGGCTTCTAGAGGAACCACACATCACTATGGCTTCTAGAGGAACCACACATCACTATGGCTTTCAGAGGAACCACACATCACTATGGCTTCTAGAGGAACCACACATCACTATGGCTTCTAGAGGAACCACACATCACTATGGCTTCTAGAGGAACCACACATCACTATGGCTTCTAGAGGAACCACACATCACTATGGCTTTCAGAGGAACCACACATCACTATGGCTTCTAGAGGAACCACACATCACTATGGCTTCTAGAGGAACCGAACATCACTATGGCTCTCAGAGGAACCACACATCACTATGGCTTCTAGAGGAACCACACATCACTATGGCTTCTAGAGGAACCACACATCACTATGGCTTCTAGAGGAACCACACATCACTATGGCTTCTAGAGGAACCACACATCACTATGGCTCTCAGAGGAACCACACATCACTATGGCTTCTAGAGGAACCACACATCACTATGGCTTTCAGAGGAACCACACATCACTATGGCTTTCAGAGGAAAGCCATAGTGAGGAGACTGAGGTGTCCCGGAGTGCAGGGGGCGCTCCTAATGACCTTCTAAAACTCTGTTGTGGCATAGACATCTTCTATGGAGCTGTCTGTTTAAGCAGCGGCTTATCTGTAGCTGAGAGCAAGCGGCTGGATCAGCTGATCAGGAAAGCCAGCTCTGTGATTGGATGCCCTCTGGACTCAGTGCAGCAGGGGGGAAACAAAAGGATCCTAACTAAATTAAAATCAGTTCAATAATGTTTCCCACCCCATGCATGAAGCTGGTGCTGAACTGGAGAGCTCCTTCAGTGACAGACTGCTGCATCCTAAATGCACCAGGGAGCGTTATCACAGATCCTTCCTCCCAGCAGCTGGAAGACTTTATAATTCAATTCAATTCAGTCTATTTCTATAGCATCAATTCACAACACCTGTCATCTCAAGGCACTTTAAAGTTCACCAGATTATCCAGTCAGATTGATTCAAAGTTTTCTATCTAAGGAAAACCAGCTGATTGCATCGACTCATTGACTCTTCAGCAATCCCTCACACTAAGCATGCTTGTAGCGACAGTGGAGAGGAAAAACTTCCTTTGAACAGGAAGAAACCTCCAGCAAAACCAGGCTCAGTGTGAGCGGCCATCTGCTGAGGCCGACTGGGGTTCAAAGAGACAGAAGCAGACATAGAAAAAGATGCATAAATACAAAAGGCAACTGTCAACCAGCTCCACAGGCGGCCCCGTCCAGGAAACACACAGCCAGGCAGACGAGCTCCGAGCCAGCTCCCATGTCAGAGGATGAAGAGAACACATCCAGTTAGTCACAGTCAGAGAAACAGGACTACACTGGAAAACGGGCCAAGCTCCAGCATCTAGAAACAAAGGTGTTGATGGCAGCAGCACAGCTGATATTTCTCTCCAGGATGGAGTCACAGCCAAACAGGAACAGACCAGATGAAGCTACTATGAGGAAAAGCAGAGAGAGCAGAACGTTAGAGATTGAACTAACAGATTCTGCAGAGTGGGAGAATAGAGATAGAATGAAGCAGAATGGTGAAATAGGGGTCCCTATGCCCTCCAGCAGTCTAAGCCTATAGCAGCATAACTATAGAGATAGCTCAGGATAACCTGAGCTATCTCTAACTATAAGCTTTATCAAAAAGGAAAGTTTTAAGCCTAGCCAGGATAGGGGAGATATGGTTATCCAGTTGTGTCATTGATTCTGCTGGGTTTTCCTTGGAAAGGGAAACCTTTGTTGTGAACTGGGGCTATTCTCTAATGTATAGCCCCAGTTTGCAATTCATCCATCCATACATACATAGTGTATTACATAAATGTAGGGCTGAGGCAATTAATCGGATTAATGCTAATTAATCGATTATTGAAAAAATCATGAACTAATTTAGTAATTGATTAATAATTAACTGGAGTATATTGACTCTAAAACACCCTTTAGCTGACAGAGTTGCCCACTTAGAGCAGGAATTAGACCAAGATTGTAAAAATATATATAAACATTTTCATTTAACATTAGAAAACGCATTTGTCTGTCAATCTGCTCTATCCAGAACTCTTCTAGTTGAAAATTTGTAGTTTAAACTGGTTTCATTTTGTAAAACGCCTTCTTAAAGGAACCTTTGGCCATCCGATCATTAATTAATTAATCGAAAAAATAATCGACAGATGAATCGATTTGCAAAATAATTGGAAATATCTAATAGGTTAATGTGATTAATGATTTTTACCTGAATCAGTACAGCATGTTGTCATTGAGTGCATGTCTTTGAACCAGAAAGATAACAGCTGTAAGAAGCCATGTATGTAAAATTAGAATGAACTTTACAACTGAATATATTTTTAGAATTGGTATAATTAAATCATCAAGTTACTTTTTTTTTTTTAAGATAAAAAAAAAACCCTTTAGAAAGCATGTATGTACTGGTTTTTTTTTCCTTTTGCTCTCCTGTTCACACTCCAGTCCACTAAGTGGCAGTATTGCAACACCATAGCGTGTTTACCAAAACATCTGTAGAAGAACCCGGTGGGCGTTAATGGCGGAGCACGGAAGCACAGCAGCTATGACTACAGCCTTAAAAGTCTTCAACAGGTTCCTGTATTAACAAAGATTCAAGCAAACGCATTGGGGAAGGTATTTATTCAGAACTAAGACCATGCACTCATGAACAATAGTCCATTAATTCCTATCGAATTATTTGGAGGCTAACGTTAGCCAACTAGCTGTCGGAGCTGCCTCGAAAATGGCTGTTCGGTTGTGTTTAATGCATGTAGGCCCAGTGGAGGGGGTTATTTTCAGCAAGCGACGCTCGTATATTAATTGCTTTCATCGAAGTACTGGACGTGTTTTGCAGTGTACACAGATTAAAGTCAGTGCACCACACATTACAGTGTCTAACCGCTAGCTGCTGGCGAACAAGTTCCTGCTCTCGCGAGCTTTCAGGTTAGGTGCTGGTGAACCAGTCCCTGCTCTCGCGAGCTTTCATCTAGCTACTGCTGAACCAGCCTCTGCCCCTTAAAACAGTAGACCCCGCATCGACAGTTTTCTACTATGAGCCCTGACGTGATTTGTAGTCGCCATCTTGGAGCGGTCAACAGCTCCCCTCAGTGTAATGTGTTGAGCAGGCACAGAATCAATTTTAATCAACCTTAACTCTTAATATTGAACTAAATTTCAAGGTTTTTTTTTGTTTTGTTTTTCTGAAAACAAATATTTAAATCATTTAAATATCCCTTTTGGGGTTAAGAGTAATATAATATTTTGATGGGAGGTATGCATGCTGCAAAGCACAGCCACTGTTACATTTTCGTATATTCTTTTATTACTATATAAATAATGATATTTATACAGGTATATATATACCTGTATAAATATACTGCAAAAATGTCCAAAGCTGTATCTATTATTTATTCTTCAGATGCACAGTATTAGTATCGGTAATGTCTTACAAAGCACTGACTAGTACATAAAGTTATCCCTTGAGCTGTGGTACGATTCAAACAAAAACAGTGCTGAGGTACTCTCCTTCTGCTGGTTAGGATAGCAGGTCAACCTCCCCCACATGGCGCCCGTAAATCCTGCTCGCATCAGTCAATGTGGGGTCTACTCTTATATTATGTCTGTGTGTAGCGCTGGCTGCTCTGCAGATATCGGTGGACTGCTGAGCATGTATTCACACAGGGAGTGGCAGCAAAGGGGCTTTTGTTCTGATGGTGAATGTCATGTTTCACCTGTGAACTCGCTCACTATCAGGAAAACCTGCACTGAAGATAAAACATACATTCATCTGCTTATTGCTGCACTCTCATTTTCATCTCTATACTGAGTTTCTCCATTATTTATGGTGGTCCCCTCTCTATACGTTTGTTTCTCTAGGCTACCTACCTTGATTCACTCCCTAAATAATAAACACTTTAGTGTTTCTTAATAATGTGTTGAAATATTAATTTCTGCTAACTCTCTCCTACTTCTGCATTTGTTCCAACTAACTCCCAGAAATACGGAGCTGAGCTATTTTTAGCTCCGCCAGGTCAAGATTCTCCATTGCAATCGCACCAAACACAAAAAAGAACGGCGAGAAGATCTTGTTTGTCAAATTAGAATATAGTAACAACAGATTAGAGCAAGAAATCAACAACAAAAAGAAAATATTTGGGCAGAAACTGAACATATGCTGGATGCTGATGGGGATTTTTTAAAATATGTTATAAAATTAAGTGTTTATTTCCGCATGTTCCAATGAATTTAATAATATCACACATTCTCTCAATGAGCTCAGAGGAAGTTGGAGCGAAGCAATACGGGAGGAACAGCTGAGGCTGTAGGCTTTGCTCTGCGCAGGAGGTCTGGAGCGGGGCGGTGGGGAAGACGTGGGGTTTCGGGGTAATCATGAGCGTTGACCGCTGTATCGTAGCTCACTGATGTCAGAAACCAGGACTTGGATGTCTGCGATTTTTGGCTGGTTCATTGTTTGTTCTGACACACAAACAGACTATTCAGTTAATTTTGATAAAAGAAAATCTAATTTTATCAGTTGTTGTTTGTTAGCAGGTCTAAATATTTTTGCTTTGCAACTGAACAAGAAAAACCGATTGAAATCTTTTTCAGAAAAGAAAAATCAGCTTTGAACGTTTACTGGAAGGTTCTCATAAGTGTTTATAAGAATGAATGCTATCATCATCATGATACTCAGATGGAGCAGAACCCATCTTCTGGCTGAAAAAAAAATATATTTACATATGGAAAGATCCTGGAGAGATGTTAGAATAATAAGCTTTAAATGTCAATCTGTGTAATTTAGAGATCTATACAGTTAGGAGCAGGCTGTCCTGAATGCAACGCTTGGTCGCTGCTCCTGCACTGCATCGCCTTCATAACGGCATGTTATCAGGCTCTGTGAGGTGTGTGGAGCCAGTGAATAAAGCATTCAGGACAGCAGGCCTCAAGGACAAACATTCAAACCCAGTTTCCTCTTCAGATACTAGATCTTCCTGTTGAGACTCTGCTAATGGAATTTCACCTAAAACAGATCGTATATCACTAATGAAATGGTGTAAAAATAGATGAGTCTAGATTATTGTTTTACACCTGTGCTGTAGAAGCATTTGTTTATTAATTAGTTTAAAGTGGCTCATGGTCTCATCCCTCCTGGGAACACGGCTGGTGGTGGATGCATATCTACTCAGAGTTTGGGATTGGAAAGGCTGGATATGTGGTACAGTGTTTTATGATGTTGTAGTTTATATACGTGTGTTTGCAGAGGCACATCATTTTGTGGAAGAAACCTTTCTCAGAATGTACAGGACTCTTGATCGTGATGTCATGGATCAGTTTATTATCTGGATGTAAGCGTGCTTTTTGGCACTAGACGTGTCCAAGCAAACTGAAATATAAAACCCATCTGATTTCTTTCCAGGTCTGATCTTAGTTGTAGATATTTAATATTTCTTTTAGTTTCTAACAGCAGACAGCTATGTATGTTAGTGTAAACATGTATGGCTTTGCATGTTTGATATTACTTCATATTTGCTCTGTTGTGTTTAGATGATGTAAAAAAACGGTTGATTTCTATTTGTTGTCTGATTTTTCAAAGCACAGGGAAAGATTGGTGAATAAAATAAATTTGAGTCAGTTTATAGATTAGGATAACGGTGTGCAGACATGGCTGGGAGGGTTCTTGATTTTAGTGTCACTAAAATAAGTCAGGATGTATCTAGATCACCTCAAACCAACTTAACTGTTCAGAAGGTTTAATGAGGAAAAACAAAGACTTTGCATGATGGCTGCTCTTGATATGAATAATTATAATAGTATATTTCTGCTTTCCACCTCAGCCTCTCTGTGCACAAAGACAGTAACGGTTTACTCCTTGCTCCCGCCCTGTGTTGGGAGCACAGAGCCACACTCTCCACCAGCGGCCCAGCCAGAGGGAACCATTTCATTTTTGGACCTGTGCTTGCTGCTCTCCGATTGGCTCAGATTGAGACTCAGACACAGATTGCTCTCCGGCAGATTGCTCTGCTAGCTTCCATCGTTTGTGGACATCAGAGTGATCTTGCGGCAGTAGTACCTCTTAACCTGGCCCTGCTGGGTCTTTCTACTCGACAGCAGGTGTCGACGTTGGGGCTAGAAGTCACGACGAACGGACAGATTTCTACCATTGCACAGCCACGTCTGTCTGCTGCCATGTTTCACCAGCAGCAGGGCCCTCAGCAGTTTCCAAACCCATCTAGACCTCCTCATCATCAGCCAAATGCAGGTCAGCATCCAAACCACCCCAACATGCAGGGAATGGGGTTCCAGTTTCCTCGTCCAAACCAACTCCCAGATGAGCTGGAGTCTGCCCTTGCTATCAGGGGCAGCAGAGATGTGGATCATCGCCAGATGGATCACATGAACCAGTCAAACCAGAATCAAGGTTCAGCCGCAGGGATGGGTCAACACGGAGGCTATGGTTCCCAACCGATGTTGCGTCCTGCTGATAATCAGCCTGGCCACCAGCAAGGAGTCGACTGGTCAAACTACCCACCTCCATCCGCGCTGTTCGCACCGACTCAGCACCCGCCTCAGAGCAGCCAAGAGGGAACCAGACTACCCAACTGGAATCCTCCCATCTGCGACTCCCAGTCTCCTCAACCTCGACAGTTGCTTGGTGATGGAGGCAGGGCGGAAGGTCAGGGGATGTACACACCGGAGAGCGCAGGGAGCATCTTGGCTAGCTTTGGACTCTCTAATGACGACTTGGAAGTGCTGAGTCATTACCCAGACGATCAGTTAACCCCCGATACATTACCGTTCATACTCCGTGACATCCAGCTCAACAAGTCCGGCAAGAAGTCATCTTCAGCTTCGTCCTCTTCATATCCTCCCAACATGCCTCCTCCTCATACCTCACAGTCCGCCGAAGTACCCAGCCTCCTCACTGTTACGCAGACGGCAGGCAAAGTTATTGACTATGGACATGCCAGCCGTGGTACAGAGGAAGGCAGCACTAGAGAGACTTTTAAAAGAGAGCAACTCTCTAAAGTGGATAAAACAGAAAGGCGTCAAATCTGTTTAGACCCCAAAGAGCCAAGCAAACACGGAGACCAGGACTATCGCAGGGCAAACTGCGAGAAACGCAAGAGTAGCCGATCGCCGGCAAGAGATTTCGCACCTTTGCCTAAATCTCACAACTTAGACAGAGACTATCGGCGAGTGGAGTCTAGGCGAAGGTCGTCGTCGGAAACCAGGAGTGAAGCGTCCTCCAGACGCTCTCCGTCGTCGTCTTCTGCTTCAAGGCAACACGGCGGTAGCAAGAAGTTACCCACCCCTACCATGATAAGTGATTTCGCAGCGATGTCTCCAAAGGTGTATCCCCATACCTGCTCCCTGTGTCACATTCAGTGTGACCAGGAAAAGGTGAGTGTTGCCATGTCGTCATTCTAATCTCCACAGTATTCATTTAAGATAATCCATTATAGATTTACTATCTCCTTATATTGGCCACATTTATGTTTTTTTACTTTAACACCCACATTCAATGACCTCAGTCAGGCCTGCCCAGAGTCAGCTTCCAGCACCGCTGTGCTGCAGGTTTTCAGCTTTTTCCCTGCTTCAGCAGCAGCCCGTTAATCAGCCATCAATGAAAACCAGCTGTGCTGAGGCAGGGACACCGAGGCCGTTTCTCAATATGTGAACTTCTACGTGTTCGTGTGCTCGTGAAATGCCATCAGCCTCACACCCAGCACCGAGAACGAACAAAGTCTCCGGATGGTGTTCTCGCCCCTCCCTCTTTACCCAGCATGCATCAGAGCAGACTTGCGCAGACTGACAGCTGTCCCAGCATGCACTGCGGCAGCAGTAGATCCAGTTTAGCGCTCAAAGCTCAGAGTATCAAGTTAAAAGTTCTATTTTCTGTTGTTCTATAAAAGGACGATACAAGGGTTTTGGCAGCCAGGGCTGACGCTGGCCCGTCTGCGTCGGCCAAGGCTAACGTCAGCCCATCTGCAGCATAGCACTGTGCGTACCGTTGGCTCTGATGGTTTGATTTGTGTTTATCTGACTGTGTTCATTATTATTCCCTCACTAATTGAAAAAAGTCAGAATTTATTATTATCTAGAGAGTATTAATAACAGGAGGTGAAATGCAGCTCTAGAGTAGCTTTGAATTTGGTGATGTCATCAGTCTGTTCCGATTGACCCAGATTTATGCTGCGTGCTCCCGTTCTGGGTCGTATTTTCCTGTGTTTTTGTCCAGAGCGTACTTGGCGATTCCATTCACGGTCTAGTGAATTGAGAAACAGCCTGACTCTGGGCAGCCCTGACCTTAATGGTTTGACCTTATCCGCCCATTGAAGAGACTTGGCTTCTTCATTAGTGTAGTTCTTCTGGGTACAACTTCTAAATCTGTTAATTGAATGATCTGTAGAAGCCCTCTGGATGAGGAATGCAATGTTTTTCTGTAGAATCTCCTTCTAATTAAAAGTTTTACCTTAAATCCACACAGTGAAGTTATCTGGAAAGGCTTCATTTATTGAGAAGAATCTGCTCACTTTACTGCTTAAGATTCCAGCTTCATTATGTTGCAAGGGTGACGTCGTTTCTGGCCACATGTTTGGGTTTGAGAGTATTTAATCCTTGCTAACTGCTAACCTGGGTTCATTCTCAGTTGAAACGTTGAATGGATCGAAATTTTGTTTTGAATATACTGTACAAAAATCACAGTAAAGTTTCACTCTAAAACGGTTAGCTGCCTGCGGTTTCTACTAGATCTTATTTTATGTTTTTTTTTTTTTCTGTTCATTTTTGCTGTTAAGATTGGGTGATTCCAACTGCATAACCACGTCCTACTTTTTTAAATGCTGTTTATTTTTATACTCTGATAAAGTCAAAGAAGTTTTATTCACATGCTGCTACCACAGATAATCTCGCTCTCCAAATGGAATTGAACGATTCAGATTAGCTAGAATGAATAGAAGGGGTAGAGCGTAGCCGCCTGTGGCCCGGGCTGCCTGTTACGACTCCAGTCCGGCAGCAGTTCAGCGGACAGGATGAATGAACGGTAGCCGGCGCGCGTGGATGACGTCATACACACTCAGCTTTGTTTTTAAAAGATATAGATATAAAAAATATAACGGCGGATGTCTGGGGACAGTGATTGGCCTACATGTTCTGAATGCTGGCGTACCATAAAGAATAAATGATGAACAGTTTAGTTTGTGCCTTCAAGTCGTTAGGTTATATCCAAGTAACGTCTTCCTAACGGAATATCTTCAGAACGGCTCCAAATGACACAAAACTCATATGGGTGAGTAGAACATGATGTAATAACGTAAAATCAAGGGCCTAATGTAAAAAATAAAAATAAAAAATTTTAAGTTTTTTTGCCTTGCGGTCCACTAAGGAGCCTACAAATCATTATCTTAGCAAGGAAAACACAATGGACAAGTTGATTAAGTGACTGTTGCCGTTATTTAAGATAAAACATTTCCATTTCAGTTATTTATTTTAGACCAAATAACATTTTACATTTACATTCCGCGAGAGTGCATGCAGCATGTTTACCGTGAGGGTAACCATGCTGTGGCTCTGACTGCAGCGCTGAGAGGGAGAACGGGGTTGGGACGGGGAAGGCGCCCCACGGCAGCAAATGCTGCTGCAGGACAAGAGTAGGAACGATACGTGCTTTCACCTAAGAGTCTCCAAAAGCCGCCACTGACACCAGAAAAGTCGCTAGATGTGTCGCTAGTCGCTTTTTTTTTTTAAAAAGAGTGGAGGGGACTGAAAAGTCGCTAAAAACCATGGGTGGAACGGTTCACAAAATCCACGGTTCGGTTCATGGTTTCTGGTCACGGTTTTCGGTTCGGTACATGTTGATTGTTACCCCGAAATCCCATAAAAATTTATGGAATTAATGAAAAAATCCAAAAAAATTAATGAATTGTAATTATTTTTAATGATCTGCGGAAACCATGATCATTTCCGCTGCTTTGAATGTAATCATCTGGCGCATGCCCTCTACGATCTCCAAGGAACTCAGAGCAGAGCGGACGGGTGCCACAGTGAAGGCTGTAGGCTTTGCTTTGAGCAGGCGGTCTGGAGCGCAGCGGGGCGGAGCGGAGCGCTGATGGAGTATGAGGGATTTCGGGATTAGGATGACATGTTGGTTGTGTTGCTGTTAGCATAAACAAAACGTGTTGCACAGTGCTTGCACACTGTTGCACTTTTATCCACAACTTTCTTTCTGCCGTCGGTTTTAGAGGGTTGGTGTAAATGGGGTTTCCTCAGGATCAGTACTAATTATGCAGCTCTGTGGAGACGTCTATCAGCCTAACAGGATAACAGCATTTAACCGGGCCTCTTTCCATTTTTGGTGTTTGTTGGAGGTTCTGGGATGCCGGTTCGCTTCCTCCACATGACGATGAGCTCAAAGCTTCTCTGGGCCTCGGCTCCTGGCTGCCGTGCCCTGTTGTATTAAACGAGGTGCGCTCCTGCTGAAGTTCTGCATCAGTTTGAGCTGCTTGAAGAGAGGGACAGTTTAAATCAAGCAGAAGGCTGGTTGTTGATCATTTTCTGAACATCCAGATAAGGTCGGCTGTAGAGCAGATCTCTGTTGCATTGTTAGCTCAGAAAGTCAAGCATCTCTCTGTGAGTGGGCTCCACGTTTGCCCCAGTCTAGCTGACCTTTATCTGTCTGAAATATGAACTGGACCATTAGGATGACCCCAGTGGTTCCTGTCGGTGGTAGACCTGCTATGTTCCATGGAGACGGTGTTCTGTGTATCGATTAGATCGGAGTGAAGGTGAAAACAGACTGAATGTCAGAGCTAACTGCAGGGAGTAAAGAGACCAGTACAGTAATCCCGTCCTAACAGTCTGTCTGGACAGGATCCACCCTCAGGCCCTGACAGAGCCGCGCTGACCGTGTCTGTCAGGTCGTGTGTCCATGTCTGCGACTGGTGGTTGCTGCCTCCTCTGTCTGTGTCGGTCACATCCTCTCTGCCTTGTTTTCTGACTCCAGGACTGGGTGTCCCACATTAACACAGTCGATCACACGGCCGCCTGCAGGGACCTGCGGAACAGGTGAGCTCACAGTGGGAACCAGCTGAATGTTTAGCTAATCTGTTAGCATTCCTTCATTCTTCTTCTGCACCTTGGTTCAGCTTTGCTCCAAAATCCCAACTAACTGAGCCTGTTTGTTTGTTCAAAGGTACCCTGAATGGAAACCAAATCTGCCGAGGTCAGTTCATCCTCCACAGCACACAGCCTCTTAGGGTCACCGTCCAGAACGGTGGTAAAGGCTGCAGACAGTCATGGTTACACAGAATAACAGCTTCTTCACTTCTGGAACAAAAACAGGACTAAGCCTTTTCACTGCAAAAAAATCAGTTTATTTCTATAGCTTCAATTCACAACATGCCATCTAAAGGCACTTTACAGTTCACCAGATCATCCAGTCAGATTGATTCAAAGTTTTCTACTTAAAACCAGTTGATTGCATCGACTCATTGACTTGAAGGCAATTCCTCAGACTAAGCATGCTTGTAGCGACAGTGGAGAGGAAAAACTCCCTTTTAACAGGACGTGTATTTCCTCTTAATTTGAGCAGGAAAATAAGAAGCTCTGCCAATTGAAGGAGTATTTTCACTCTTAAAAAAGATATTGGATAATATGCACTTGGAATAATAGTTGTTTTTTCTTAGTTTATCTGTAAATTCTCTTGTTCTATTGGCAAATTGTTTCACTTAACTCCTGAATTCAGGAAATAATGCACTTGTTTTAAGAAAAAAAACGACCTTTAGATTTAAATGTTTGCAGTGTTTATATGAATCATTTACTGACGACTTTATTAAGACTAGCAAACCAAACTGTTAAATGGGAAGACACCCCGATGTTATTGGATATCAGATGGTTTATAGAAGCTTTTTGACTGCTGGGAAAACCAGGAGGAAACCAGTTCCTCCATTTCAGAACTCCTGCAGGACCAGTTAGCGTTTTGAGCGAACTGTTGGAATATGGTTGAACCAAGATGAGGTCATATGATGCCTGAAGCAGTCAGATAATCTCCATGACTGTCCGGCTGTTTCTGTCAGCATAGGAAAGTTCTGCTGTGTTTAATCGGAATGAATGGATCTGAACCCAGACTATGAATGAGGCCTTGGGGCTTTGAGGCTTTCAGCGATCTGAAGGTTGTTGTCGTTCCAGTCGCAGCGGGCGATACGGCAGCCGTGCTCTGTGGGATCCCAAGGATGGCTCTCTGTCTCGCTCCCGCTCTCGCTCTCCAGCTTCTCAGGGCAGATACCGAAGAGAGCCCTATGTCCACCGGCCGCATGGCAGGACGCGCTCTCCAGACCGGCCTTCACGGCCCCACCTCCACTCAGGTACCGCTGCCGCTCGCCATGTATGAACCCACCAAAGGAGCGGACTGTTGTGGTCTGATCCATCTGTCTGCTTGTCCCTCAGAACACAGCCTTCGCTTTGAACGGCACCTCTCTGGCCCTCATTATTCCCAGAGGACAGCTTTCCCCTACAGAGACTCTTTGTCTGACAGGAGACGGCGGGAGCCTTCAGGTCTGGGTCAGGACATCTAACCACCCGCTCATGTTAGCCGTAGCCTCACAGTTCCACTTCATGAATGGTTCTGCAGGCTGTTCTGGCTCGGTTCAGAATCAAATCAACAAAACCTTAAAAACTCACTGTTAAGCTAGCTGTAGCATTCCAAAATAAAAGCACTTTGTTTTTGTAAAGTTCACCTTACTGATGAAAAACAAGCATAACATCCATCCTCCTATGGCTCAGGAGAAGGAACCCTTAGAACTGTGTGTATGTAAAGAAGGCGTAGATGAAATCAGGTTAGCTTGGTCTCCATCACTGCTGTCATTCATATAAACCCGTCCAGATCAGGTGTCTCCTAGGAAACCAGCTGCTTGCATTGACTCTACCTTTCGTGCTTTGATTCCATCACTGACCCGCTCCTTTGGCTGTTAACTCCAGGCGACCGCTCTCACTGCGGGCTGAAGCGTCCTCATGAAGATCTATCCAAAAGCTATGCTGAGGCGGGCCACGGATCCAGGCATGGCGCCCCGAAGTCTGCGGCTAAAAGCACCAGACCTGCAGTCAAAGCAGCCAAGATGGTACGTTTCTGTTCCACTTTCTCTGCATCGAAATGATTGATGATTGGGAAATTAAACAGTTGGTGGATGTTGCTGTGCCTTTGAAATCTGCCATCAGTCCATACATTAAACACTTGACCTTCCTCAGAACATGGCATTCCTAGAACCATTCAGAGGGATTTCTAATATAGCGGCTGGCTCCGCCTCCTACCCTCTCATGACGGGAGGTCCAACCCCAAATGCCCGGTATCAGATTACCAGTCCGAGTCCGAAAGTCATAAATGAAATGAAACTTTGTGTTTGGAGAGAAGCACGATAGAGAGAATGGAATTGCATGGAGTGGGAAGCTTGTTTAGGCGTCCAGCAAACATGAGTTAGACCCTGGTCATCAAGCTGCTGTTGGTTAGCCGGGAGCTAAGGCAACAGCTGGTTTACCAATAACTGACCGTGTATGAGTTAAAAATAAGGGTCTGATCTTCACCAGCATGTCTCATAGGTTAATGCAAACAATCAAAGAGTAATGCGATTTGAGCAGCAAAAAAGCTCCTGCTGCTTTATGTTTGATGATTGTTCACGTTAAGGTCAGACGTCCAGTAAAGTGTGTCCAGATGCATCTGATGCTTCTGCTGCACAGAGAGATTTTGCTGATCAGTGGTTAAAAAGTAGTTTTAACATATTATGAAGTGAGAAAGTCCCCCTCCTGTCAGTTCATCCAGATTACCATCCTGCCTTCAAAGATTATTTCTCTGTTTTCATGACCTCCACTCCCGACTCCATTGTGCTAAGTTCTACTTGCATGCATGGCTCTGTATGCTAGCTGCACCTCTCTTCCCTTTGTGTGGTTCTTAACCCACTGTAAGCCCCCTACAGGGCGGGAGGGAGAAATGTTGCTACTTAATGTTCAATGTAACATGACTTACACTGAGTGCGTCTGTGATTTTAAAAGTCTGCTTTGTTAAACTGTGATTAAATTGCAAACGCTGTTAATCGTCCAGCTCTGCTAGTGAGGATGGAATAAATGTGACTGGAGTCCTCTTTGTCTCCAGGCTGTTAAAAGTCAACCAGTGAAGAAGAAGAAGAAGAAGGTGGCGGCTCCGTTCTCCCAGGGCCTGAGCTTTGCAGATCGCTTGGTTTACCTGACGGGCATTCCTGCCGATGCAACAGAGCAGGAAGTGACGGACCTGGTTGGATCTTTTGGAAAGATCAATAACGTGATTCTCCTGCCGTGCTTCGAGGACGACGCCGAGAAGGAGCAGAAGGTCAGCAGCCAGAAAGCTGAAGGGTTGGTTTCTGAGTCCAAACATCATTCTGATGGTGCTGTCTGTTGCAGGCGTCTGTTTGTATGATGAAGGCAGAGGACGCCAAGGCTCTGGCCTCTGCTGCCAAGCTCTGCATCAGAGAGAAGGAGATCACCGCCTCCATGGCCAAGGTAAGGGTAGGAGGAGGTCCTGGTGCAGAAGGGCCTCCTGTCCCAACAGGCAGTTGGGTGCCGCTAATAATGTTGACCTTTGACCTTGCTTGGGGCTGCAGATGTTCTGCTTGGAGAGTGTTAGCTGTTAGCTAACGCTGCAGCTCTGGTTCTGTTGGCCCCGCCCCCTCTGCTGTGGTTCTCTGTGTGCTCTTCCTCTTTTTATCACCAGATTTTAAGTTCCTTGATTTATTTATTTATTGAATGCTCCTCTGTTAGCTGGAAGGCTGTGGGTTTGAATCCAGCCCTGCTCCTGGGCAGGGCACTGATTAATGTTTAGCTCTCCTTCCAGGTTCCTGCAGACAGTCTGCTCTCTGAGGCTAACAGGTGGGTTCTGGTCTTAGTGTGAATGTTTGATCCTGAACATGCTGCTCCACTGAGCTCTTCCTTCTCCTCACAGTAAGCCTGAAGCAGCATCTGAGCAGGAGTCTGCTGGGAACGTCTCAGGTAGGAACCTCTCAGTCAGAACTGCTTTCCATCTGCTGCTCAGAGCAGCCTGACCGTTTCCCCTCCTCCATGTCTGCAGGTGAAACAGACCATGCCGCCTCTGATCAGGTGACCTAGCCAGACACTGTTTCTTGATGGACATGAGTCCAGATGATTTGCTGACTGTTGGAGTCTAATGTTAAACAGAAGTCCTGATCTGACCTTGGTGCTGGTTCTGTCTGCAGGGCTGGAAGGTGCTGATCAGCGGCCTTCCTCACAGCGGCTGGTCAAAGGCTGACATCGTTCAGTTTGTCCAGCCCTTTGGGACGCCCTCTGACCTCATCCTGGCGATGGACGTTGGAAAGGTGAGCACGCTGGGTTTTAACTCTGTAAAGGTATTTAGGGTCTGATCAATGTCTGGATTCATCCTCTGAATGGATTCCAACATTGATTCTTTCCCTCCCGAAGTCCTTTACTATGAGAGACACGGCCGTTCTGTCTGCTGCTTCAAGCTAACATCAATGTTGGTTTGGTTGGAATGTTAAACCTGAACCAGCTGATTGTGGGACGAGTTTCTGTTTCCAGCGTCTGTTGATGGAAAGGGAGGGGAGGATTTAGGAAATGTGGGGCCCTAGGCAAAGGCAGGCAGGGGCCCCTCTGGAGAATAGGTCTGTTTTATGTGTTGTCTTCTCAGCTCAGATAGAGAAATGTTAATAGAATAGACATCCATTATCTGTTCTAGGTTGTGTCCCTCTCTTCTTGTCCCTTTTCTTCTTGTTTTCCTCTCTATGTTTTGTACTCAGCTGACTTTTCATGCTGTCTCTAAAGGAATGAAAGATTTTTTCCAAGCACTAAGCTCACTTAGCTGATTGCTCCTTCCTGTGTTTCCAAAAAGGCCAAAGTAAATAACCCAGTCCTTCTTTTCACTGTAGACAAGCCATGATCTGCTTCTCTGTTCTCCATTTTTCATTTGGATGAAATAATAGCTGCATGAATCATGACAGCAGACAAGATAGAGGAGAGCAGGAGGCGGGGTTACCAATCTACTCGCTCTGGAGAGCAGAGTTCGCTGCCTCTAGATATACACTTAATATTATCAGCGTTCTGATGGCGTTTTAGCCAAAGGATTTTTATCAAAAACATCATTAATGTGCACAAATAGGTAATAGTTGAATTAACCATACATGTAAACGGAGTTTAAGGGGCCCCCAGGAACTGGCCTAAAGGTAAATCTCCCCCTGGTAAAGGACGTTGGTTCCCTGCTCCTCTGTTCACCATCTTGTCTCTGTCCATCAGGCTCTGGTGTCGTTTCCTGACCAGGAGGTTGCTGAGGAGATGGTGAAGGTCCACAGCTTTAAACCTGGCGTGTTTCTGGACACAGAGGTGAAGATGAGCGTGGTCAAACAGCCCATCGGACTCACCACTCCGGTACTGTTGTTTGTTGATTTGATGCAGATCTCTGTGTTCAGCAGCAAAGCCAAACTAACGAGCTCCTCCTCTCTGCAGGTGGCTCTTTACAACCTTCTGATGCAATCATCAGAACCGTCGGTGAGTTCTGGCAGCCCGGTATTCTCAGCTTTACAGGGTCTGGAGGTGTTCTGAACCCGCTCTCTGTCCCACAGGAGAGTCCGGCTCTGGTTGGCTGGAAGCATCTGGTGGCGATCAGAAATGTTCCTGACTCACCTGCTGGATCCAGGGAGGTTCTGAGGCTGATGCGGCGCTTTGGGACGGTCATCAAGTCTCTGGTTGTCAGCAACATGGTGAGGCGCTGGTTTGGACCCACGGTCCCAGCCTTCAGGTCCTGATCCTGGACTCTGTGCTGCTGGACCTCATCTCTTCATATGTATAACAGCCGCTTTGTTCCGATCAGATCATCTGTGAGATCGCCACCATCTCCATGGCGCTGTCCGTCTACAAACGCTTCCTGATGTTCCCCTGCATCATCCAGAGCAACCCCCTGTTCTTCCACCGCAAACCGGACCCCAAAGCTCAGAGCAAGGTCATCCCCGCTTACTGCGACACGCCTGAGGTCAGCCGCCGCAGGAGGAGAGGAACGCTTCCTGGTGAACACGTGGGAACGGCTGTTTGATGTGGTTTCCTCTGTGTGTCGCAGGAGAAACCTGCAGATAACAGCCAAGCAGCAGCAGAAGCTCTACAGGAGGGCGAGCAGGATGAAGCTCCACCTGAGAGGGGCGAGGAAAAGCATGAGGAGAAGGGTGAGGAGAAGCATGAGGAGAAGGGCGAGGAGAAGCATGAGGAGAAGGGCGAGGAAAAGCATGAGGAGAAGGGCGAGGAGAAGCATGAGGAGAAGGGCGAGGAGAAGCATGAGGAGAGGGGCAAGGAGAAGCATGAGGAGAAGGGCGAGGAGAAGCATGAGGAGAAGGGCGAGGAGAAGCATGAGGAGAAGGGCGAGGAAAAGCATGAGGAGAAGGGCGAGGAGAAGCATGAGGAGAAGGGCGAGGAGAAGCATGAGGAGAGGGGCAAGGAGAAGCATGAGGAGAAGGGCGAGGAGAAGCATGAGGAGAAGGGCGAGGAGAAGCATGAGGAGAAGGGCGAGGAAAAGCATGAGGAGAAGGGCGAGGAGAAGCATGAGGAGAAGGGCGAGGAGAAGCATGAGGAGAAGGGCGAGGAGAAGCATGAGGAGAAGGGCGAGGAGAAGCATGAGGAGAAGGGCGAGGAGAAGCATGAGGAGAAGGTCGAGGAGAAGCATGAGGAGAAGGGCGAGGAGAGGGCTGAGGAGACAAAAACTGAGGAAGGAAATCCGACGGTGAAGGAGAGTAGAGACGAGGAGGCGGAGTCGAGCGTTCTTGTGTCTGAGTCCGGATCTAAGCCGGACAAAAGCGACGCTGACGATGGAAACGTTAGCAAAGGCGCATCAGAGTTGGATGTCGTAGACAAAGAAGCTCCTCCTGCCCATGCACCTTCCTTCTCCGTGGAGACGGCCATGCCTGACCTGCCCAAGGTAAGACCTTCCTGAAGCTGCAGCTGCTCCGCTGGAGGAAAGGAGCTTTAACGCGCTCCTCTTTGTTTCACACAGATGACTCAGGCCATGGTTAACGCCCTGCTGGTGGAGTGCAGAAACAGAATCGCTAACAGCCTCAACAGGAAAGCAGCGCCCCCCGCTGGAGACCAGGGGGCAGCAAAACAGGACAAGGACGACACAAAAGACCAGACCAAGAAGATGACAGAGGAAAGAGACGAGGAGGCGAAAAAAACGGACCTGGAGAGAAAAGAGAGGGAGGCGAAGAAAGAGAAGGAGAGGAGGGAGAGAGAGAAGGAGAGGAGGGAGAGGAAGGAGAGGAGGGACAGAGACAGGGAGAGGGGGGAGAAGATCAGGAAGGACTTTGATAGGAGGGAATGGGAGAGGAAAGAACGGGACAGGAGGGAGAGGAGGAGAAGCCACGAGGAGAAGCCGTCTGGGTCCAGGTCCACCAGCAGGCAGAGGTTGAGGGAGCAGCGCTACAGGGAGGAGGCTGAGAGGAGGAAGGTGAGGAGGAGTCACAGATCTACGCTCAGAGCTCAGTCTGATCGCTAACGGCCGTCTGCTCTGTTCCAGCCGGACCAGGAGAAGAAGAAGAAGGAGGAGGAGGAGGAGGAGGAGGAGGAGTTCCCCTTCAACCTGACGGACTTTGTTACAGTGGATGAACTGGGAGATGTGACTGACCTCCCTGACCCTACTGTTGTCATAGAAACCTTAGAGGGAGCGGATGAAACGCCACCTGAAGAGGTACAGCTCCCCCTGCTGGTCTCCATGGAGACCAGCAGCCAGTTTAATCTGGAACCAAACCCTCAGCTTTTAAGCATCATCATTAGATCATTATCTTGTTTTGATGATTCTCATTTATTCTTTGATCAGAGTCTCTTTTCTTTTCTCTCACATCCAGCACAGTGAATGATGTTACTGCTGTAGAAATAAACCTTCCTGTTCTTCCTGCAGGCCGTATCCATGGAGACCAGCGTGGCCCAGGAGGCACAGCCTGATGAGAAACTCCCAGAATCCCAAGCTGTGAGCGAGCCATCAGCCGCTGACAGTCTGGAGTCTGGTTCGGACCCGCCTACTGTAGAACCTCCCCCCGGTGAAACCGAGGGCCAACCAGGGCCCCCCGGTGATCCAGGTACAGCCAGAGTCCAGCAGGCGGCGTCTGTGTTCAGCTCTGTAGGCCTTCCTCACCTCTGCTGCTGCTCCTTAGGAACCACGGCGGCCTCAAGCCTCCATGCTGAGCCCGCTTCCAGCTCTGCTCCTGCAGCTCCAGCTCCAGCTCAGTCCGACCCAAACAGCCCAGCTGGAGCGGAGGATGGGGGCGGGTCTGTTAAGCAGGACGAGGCTCAGGGCGGCGAGCCGATGGAGGAATCTGAGCAAAGGGAGGGAGATCCAGAGCCTCCAGCAGTGGGGGAGCAGCCGGCCGTCCTGCAGACAGGTAGAACCTCTCATCAGCTCCGGGTCGGGTCGGGTCAGTTCTGCTCCTCCATGTTTATTTGTCATTTTTCACACAGAAAATCCTGAAACTGCCAAAGACGACCCCACAAAGGAGAGTGTGAAGACGGCCCTGCCTCCCTACGACCCCATGACGGCTGTTGGTACGACACCCTCACCCTGACCCTGTTCACAGGTTTCCAGCTGCTGCTGAACTTTGACCCTCCGTCTGTCTGCAGGTATGGAGTATTTGGTCCCTAAGACGGGCTTCTTCTGTAAGGTCTGCAGCCGATTCTTCACTGGAACCAAGGTGGCCGAGATCAACCACTGCAGAACCCTGAAGCACTATGAGAACCTGCAGGTGAGTGGAGACGGTCTGTGGGTCGGTCAGAGCCGACTGCCAGCAGGGGAACACGGGGAAGATCACAGTCCTCATCTTAGAGAGACGAACAGCCCTGAGTGGACTGTTGGACTAATTGGAAGGATGCGCTTTATGGAAGCGTTTAAAGTCCGTTTCTGGATTGATTTATATTAACATAAAGGGTTCTAATGTCCAGAAGCTTCATTATTTCTGACTCAGTAGAAACAGAAACAATCCTTTATTTTTATTTCAGGGTTAAACTAATGCGGTTTTAATCCACATTTATAAAGTGAAATGGACCTTTCCAGAACCTGTCTGGTTTCTACTAACTGAGCTAAAGTCGTAGGGAAATCATATTTAATGTCAAATCATTCTCGCTCAAACATGCATATAAATCTACTCTTTATCAGAACGTATTATCTCAAAATGTTTAAAACTTCTATATTAAAAAAATCCTGTATTAAAATCATTTTTTTTTTCGTCATTATATTATCCAGGCCAGTTAGTTATACATCAGTCTGAACACTTAAATTCGGCCAATCATATAGCAAAGGTCATCTGTCAATCAGATTTTTCCGGTCATAGCATCTTTATATACATGTCGCAGCTAATATACGCAACGGTTGAAATCAGAATCCTTTCCTTTCCCATTGAGTTCCTTCCAGTGTTCACGGGGATGGACGTCTGTGTCTTCAGCAGGCGTAGAGCTAACAGAACTGGCAGCGTTGCGAGGCAAGGGCTCAAACATGTACGGCTGGAAGCCTTCTACACCAAACCAAGCTTCTGCCGCCCTGGCGTCCTCTTCCACAACATCTTCGTCCCCGCTTTCCTCCTCTAAATAAAAAATGGATGACGGAGGAGACTCATCCACGACCTCCGACACTAAACTCTCCTCTTCTTGCATGTTTCCTCTGTCCATAGCGTTTCTTGACAGTGTCGTTTCTAAGTCACCAATTTAGTGCTACTTGGTCCCAATGGAATTTCCCATTGGGAACCTGCTAGCACTAAGATGCTAACCAGTTAGCATCTTAGTGCTAGCAGGTTCCCAATGGAATTTCCCATTGGGAACCTGCTAGCACTAAGATGCTAACTGGTTAGCAAGATGCTTCCCACAAACCAGCCACAACCAAACTTGCTTGCGAACCTTCCACAACAATCCCACCTCCTTGATAAACAACCAATCACATTCAATTTATTCAACTGTAAAGTGTAAAGTGTAAAGTCGTGCACCACTCGGGAGAATAAAGAAATGCAACATTGGAACAGCCGCTTCCCTACGACTTTAAACTGGACCTAAAATGCCCAAAAAAAGCTCTAACACTGCTTCCTGTCAAGAGTTTTATTGAATGGAGCAAAGATTTAAAGATCCAGTTATGTTTTAAAGAATCCATCAGTGGAAGCTCCAGATGAGGGTCAGAGTTCATTTCATAACCAGACCAACTGATTTCAACTTCTGCTTCTTTTCAGAAATTCCTGCAGAATCCAGAATCTTCAACCACAGCTGTGAAGAAGAACTCCAGCTGAACTTTCCTCGTTTGTCATGCAGTCTGCTTTCATTTCACTCTTAGGGTCCACATTTCCATGGTTCCATAGCGTAGTTCCATTTTGTTCTTTGAAGGCAGATTTTTGTTGATTGTTTTGTTGCTTCCAGGAGGAAGGAACAAAACCTGCTGCAATAATAAAATAGTTTGGTTTTCTAACCTGTTTCTCCTCCAGTTCTTTCATGGTCAGATCCTTCAAAGGCGGCTAACAGCCTTGGTTGATCATCAGGTTCCCTAAAAGATATAGACTCTAAACTAGAGATGTTGCAGCAAAGCTGATTCAGTTTAGTTCTGTAGCTCCAGTTCACAACACATCAACCACCATGACTGAACTACATGTTTGGCTTTAAGCGCCGTTTTCACTGGAACAAAAGGCTGATTTTTTTATTTTATTTTATTTTTAGGCTAAGTTAGCTGCTGAACTAGAAACATTCTTAGTCTGGGGTTCTCCAAATCATTTAACAGTTTTAAAATGTTTGATAAGCTGTTAGTGGGTTGGTGCCAATTATTTGTTCTGTTTGTGCTTCTGGTTCTGATCGGATAAAGGTCCAGAACCACAGACTGGTTTCTAACAGGTGCAGAAACAGATTTTTCTACCCCTACAAATGACCAGCAGATGGCAGCAAAGAGTCAGTTTAACTCCAACTTGAACCAAACTAATCTTTACAAACCATTAGTCAGATTGAAGTTGTTTTTATTAACAGGCACAAAGGGTTTATTTCCAGTTCTTTTTTGTTTGTCTTTTATATTTTCTTGTGATCTTTTTAGCAATTTATTAATGTGTTAGAAATCCCACAGGCTTTTATTAATAAATTATGAAAAATCAAACAGCTTTGTGTTGGTTTTTTCCCTCTGGTTGAATTAATCTTTTAAAGAGTTTGTAACGGAACCAAAATTAAAAAAATTGAAAGATTTCTAGAGTCATCAAATGTTTTCATATAGTTCCAAATAGTGAACCTTGACTCGTGTGCTGCTTCTGTTTCAGGTCTGATCATTGTTATTTTGGCTGTATTAGCATAATGCCAGATTCTATCAAATGAAAATGACTATCTTCCATTCATTAAAAACTAGACCTGCCATACCTCACAGCCTCTAATTAGATCTGCTTTACATAACGTTCAGAGCTGAACAGGAAGAAACCTCCAGCAGAACCAGGCTCAGTGTGAGCGGCCATCTGCTTAGGCCGACTGAGGTTCAAGGAGACAGAAGCAGACATAGAAAAAGAAGCATAGATACAAAAGGCAACTGCCAACCAGCTCCACAGGCGGCCCCGTCCAGGAAACACACAGCCAGGCAGACGAGCTCCGAGCCAGCTCCCATGTCAGAGGATGAAGAGAGCACATCCAGTTAGTCACGGTCAGAGAAACAGGACTACACTGGAAAACAGGCCAAGCTCCAACATCTAGAAACAAAGGTGTTGATGGCAGCAGCACAGCTGATATTTCTCTCCAGGATGGAGTCACAGCCAAACAGGAACAGACCAGATGAAGCTACTATGAGAAAAAGCAGAGAGAGCAGAACGTTAGAGATTGAACTAACAGATTCTGCAGAGTGGGAGAATAGAGATAGAATGAAGCAGAATGATGAAAAAGGGGGTCCCTATGTCCTCCAGCAGCCTAAGCCTATAGCAGCATAACTATAGAGATAGCTCAGGATAACCTGAGCCACTCTAACTAGAAGCTTTATCAAAAAGGAAAGTTTTAAGTCTAGCCTTAAAAGTAGACAGGGTGTCTGCCTCACGGACTAAAACTGGTAGTTGGTTCCACAGGAGAGGAGCCTGATAACTAAAAGATCTGCAGATGTAAGTTGCTGCACACTTGTTTGGCAACTACTTTCTCAAGAATTTTAGTTAAAGGAAGATTGGATATAGGTCTATAATTGACCAAGTCATCTGGGTCAAGAGACGGTTTCTTAAGCAAAGGTTTAATTCCAGCAACCTTAAAAGCCTTTGGTAAATATCCCTGTAACAGAGATAGATTAATCACATCTAAAATGGAGGAGGAGATCAAAGGGAATACCTCCTTAAATAACCTGGTTGGAACTGGATCTAACATACAAGTTGAAGGCTTAGATGAAGACAATAATTTTGCTAATTCAGAAAGTTCAACTGGATCAAAGCAGTCTAAACCCGGTTCAGATTCCATGACTACCTCAGGTACAATCGCGGATAGAGGAGTGCTTATGATCTTATTTTTAATAAGATCAATCTTATTTATAAAGAATCCCAGAAAATCATTACTGGTCAAATTTACTGCAAATTTACCCCATTCCTTAGTTCCCACGGTAACTGCAGCAGTTACACATGTCATCAATCCCTCACATCAGCCATATTACCTAATACACACAAGCACGCTCTGGTTAGAACGCAGGTCAAGAAACACTGAAACACTCTAATACCATCTCTGTCTACATTGAAAGGGCAGAATTTAAGCAGGTCACTTAACACCTCTCTCAAAACAATCCCTTTGATCCAAACCAAGCTCCACTGAAACGGCTCTGAATCTGTGACGGAAGCCTTAAAACAGGCGAGAGCAACAGGGAAGTCCTCGGTTCTTATCCTGCATGACTATCAGCTGCATTTGACAATCAACCACGACAGCTTTCTGTCTGAACTCTCCAGCATGAGCATCACAGGGAGAGCACGCTCCTGGTTTGAATCGTCCCTCACTGGTTGACCTGGATGGGAAGCAAAATGTCTTCAAACTTGGAAACCAAGTCCATTGGATTGGTTTGAACTTTTTTGGAATGACTCTGACCTGGATGGCTGAGAATCTTCACCAGCTTATTGTCACATTGATGACACTATTTGCACTATTTGCACCATTCACACTACTGTTAATATTTATTTTATATCTTAGGTTTTTATTTTTGTGCTATGGCTCATTTTATATATATATATTTTTATATTTTATTATGCACCGTGGGGTTGAGGGGATGGAAATTTCATCTGTGTTGTATGTTTACATGTAGCACATTTGACAATAAAGTTGAGTTGAGTTGAGTTGATTACTATAACATTGTTTCTACTTTATGGGTCACTTTGGATAAAAGCTTCTGCTAAATACATAAACATGAACAATAATTTCTAAGCAATAAAATAGGATTTCACATCAAACCAATTAGGAAAGTAATCCTAATCTCTAATGTTGTTGCTGTTATTCTCTACTTTTAAATGTGTCCCAATGGAGGCGTTCAAAGCTCAGATTTGAGCTGGATTAAAGCCTAGCAGCATCAGAGCCATCAGCTCTCCTATTATGATCAATAAAATTATTGTAAAAAGGAAGATGTTTCATCAAACCTTGTCTGATTGCCAAACAAGTGTCTCACCTTCATTTTCCCTACCTCCCTGTTTTACCTGTATTTACATTAAAAACATCAACAGTACTTCTAGTCATGTGGGCACACGGCGAACCAGTGTGCATTAAAACTGTGGCAGAATCAGATTCTGATTGGTAACCTTTCCTCTGCAGCTACCTTTAACAGTCAGAGGTTCACAGATTAGCTGCCTGCAGCTCAGAGCGCAGCATGAGACGCTCCTGTTGTGGGAAAAAGGTATTCAAGTATTTGCTCCAGATTTCACTCAGTCTGCACTTTGCTTTAGTTTTTCAAGTAAAAAGAGAAGCAGACACCAACAGCCCTCACAGCGTGATGTTCAGCCCTGCTCTGATCTGCACACCGTCCGTCTCTCCCTAATTAAAACCCTGCAGAAAGGCTGTGAAGGTCTCCACATTTTCTAACCCAAACAAAATCAGACAGTTGGAAATAACACATAATGTTGTAAACTAATCCATCAGAAACAGTCTAGCTTGTTATGAGAACCAATATTTTTATCCCAAACACTCCCTAAAACAATAAACAACCCCTCGTCGAAGCCTTGCAGCTCCGAGGTCTGAAAGAATGAAACTCAGCACTCATAATCAATATATATTACAATGTATACCATCATGCTTAGTGTGAGGGATTGCTGAAGAGTCAATGAGTCGATGCAATCAGCTGGTTTTCCATAGACAGAAAACGTTAAATGAATCTGACTGGATGATCTGGTGAACTGTAAAGTAACCTGAGATGATATGATGTGAATTGAAGCTATAGAAATAAACTGAATTGCATTAAATATATATCTAAATGGGAATTAATAGGAAATAATTTTTTCCACCAAACTCCTCGTCTATATCGGCCATTTGGCCACAGCGAGGGAAATGTGGCTTATTAACCTCCTAAACACTCATTAGAGAGAATGCCGACACATTGAGCAGCTGCAGGTTCTGCAACAGCTTTTCCCCCGCTGCCATCACACTGCTGAACTGTCAAGAAAAAACAAAATCTATATCAATTAGCAAATCAACAGTGGTGTCAAAAGTTCACATATTTGTTACCTAAGTAGAAGTATAGATACTGCAGTTTGAAAACACTCTGGTAAAAGTTGAAGTATCAACTTGACCTCTTTACTCAAGTAAAAGTGAAAAAGTATGTGTTCAGAAAACTACTTAAAGTATAAAAGTATAAAGTAACCTTTAAAATAAAGCTCAATTTTTCGACTATTTCTAATAATTCTCTGAGATAGGGCCAAGGATGAGGGAGGTCTTGTTGGTCTCCGTCTCCCGATACGCTCTCGCCTGTGTCCGACCTTTCAGACATTCCAACATCTTTTTCTGAATCCAACATTGTAGCATGGCATAGACAATTCACGTTAGCAGTTTGAAGAACACCTGCTTGCTTCTGATGATTTCCTTTAGCTAACCAATGAGTGTTTGCGTTATATGACTCATCCAATGACTCTAGTTTTCACTAGATGTGGGTGGAGCCAATCATCTGCATTGGATGGAGCACATGATGGGAAATAAATATTTATAAACATTAAACCGAAGCCAAGAGTAACAAGTTTGATTTAAAAATGTAAGGAATAAAAAGTACAGATACTTGTGTGAAAATGTAATGAGTAGAAGTCAGATTAGGAAGAAAAATAAGTAATGGAGTAAAGTATAGATACCTAAAAAATGAACTTAAGTAGACGTAGGGGATTTACAATTTGCAGAGGTGTCATGTAACGAAGTACAAATAGTTACTTGACACTTTTGCAAATCGAGACTCTGCATCACACTGATGACATCAACCCTAATAGAAACTCAACTCCTGTTTTTCTACTGCATTTTTGCACC